AGAAGATCCTGGCTTACAATTCATCTCTATTTCACTGCTCAGGCCTTCTGTTTTCCTGGCCATTTCTCCTCTTTTCAGCCTTCAGCAGCAGCTGTGCTGAGGCTCCTGATAGAGCTGAGATGCTCAGTCACCTAAGCACCTTTTTATATAGGCTCTGTGTGACATTATTCACCACTGGTGGTTACCTCAGCAACCTAGCTCTAGCATCATTGACATCAACAGCATAGTTGATACGGCATTAGCAGTAAAGGGAAGTTTTGGCAGAAAATACTTTGTTCATTCACTCCCAGTGTATTTAGTAAACAGAGCTTTGTCAGTCTGTAATCCTTCACAGTGATAAAAACTTCAGTGCTTGAGTTTAAAAATTATTATAACAATGACAGTGCTACATAAGGCTCAAAGACGAATAAGAAATTATTCAGCTGCTGAAAAGTCTGAAGAAATAATAGGAAGATTATCCCAGTCTATGAAAATTATTCCTGAGTATTTGTCTTCCATGAACTGATGTCAAAATGCTGTTAACTCTTTAAGTTACTGTGGCAGTGTCAGAAAGTGGACGCTTCTTGAGGTTCTCAATGCCTTTATAACAATATTTGCTGAAATACTTGGCAAATGTTACAGTAATCTTGATATATCTAGAGCAGGTCTAGACGCGGACTATAAGAATAGCTTAGCTTCTTAGAATAAATCAAAATTTATAAAGTGTAAAGTAAATTAGGATGACATGTGGACACAATTTTGTGTACTTCAGCTTATGTAGTTGCAATCTAATTAGATACTGCTTTTAGGCATCAGTTCAAAAAAAGCATGTGTCAGAAAATAACAGAACATTCATAAAATTATGTTAACTGTTTTGCTGAACTAGTACATTCTTTTCCTCTTTTCCTAAAATAGGTGGATTATGAGAATGATACGCAAACTTGATATACTGAAGTTGTTACAAGTCACATTTTGTGCTGCATGTTATGAATGTGTGTGGTTCTAAACCTTGAATGACATATAAGTTTTTTAGCTAATTTTAGCCACATTTGTTAAATAGGTAAAGGCATTAGAGGTTATTATGCTCCTGCAAGTGTTGTGAAACATTCCAGTAGTAGCCCCACTAGGAGAGAAGCTGCAGGATGAGCTCAGAACTTGTTATGAGTTAATCCACATGGGAAAAATCACCTATAAATCCTTCAGCTGCACAGAAAGCAAACAGACAGACAAACTTCAATTGGCTATCACAGTCCGCCATGAGACACAAATCTGTAGGGAAATCTGGCTTCATTAGTTACACTGGTCCTGGAATCACTGCTTTTTAGAAAGATTTCAGAAACAAAACAAAACACAGTTACACAGGGCAAACCTATAGATTTACCCAAAGGCTTCACTGGGATTTATAGCAATATTTAACAGCCAAGAAAGAAAAGCAAACAGGTTTCACAGCTGATGACTTGTAAGCACTGTGCGTTTCCCTTTGGTTTGCTCCTGGCCATGTGTCTATGCGTAGGCAGCTCTGGAGCAGGCAGAGCACCCTGATGCATATTATTCCTTCAAAGTTGCTGCTGTTATTTTAAAAAATAGAAGCACTGAGGGTAACTCATGCTTTGTTTTCCCTTCTGCCTGTCCTGAGGTGGAGGGGACGAAGGGATGTTTTTAGTCTTGGCACACAACTGCAGAAAAGTCAGTCTGTTACAGTCGAGCAGATTTAATATTAGTCATGAATGAGATCATGATTTGCTTACAGTAAGAGTTATTATTTATGGTACAGTGAGCCACTGCAAGAGCTTGTGGGAAGTCATGACTAATTGTATACCGTTCCACAGCTGCCAGGGATGGATGAACTCTTTCTTTCACCTAGGGCCAACACTAATAACTTAACCCATGACCTCTCCTCCTCTAATTCTCTCCTTCTTCTTCACATTTCCATCAATTTAAAGCAAAAAGCAAATTCCACAAATTTCTATGCTTTGGTACCAGTATAGAAACAATCAAACAACCAAAGGATTCACACAGATCGTCCACCTGGAACAAGTGTTGTTCAATGGACCACAGAGAAATGCATGGCTGAGGCTGGTCACTCTCAGCAGAACTGCCTGTGTGACTCAAGTGTTTGCAGGACTGTGTCTTTTGACTAAAATAAAACAAGTGAACTGGAGGAAAAGCAGTAAGAGCTTAATTTGACCTGGTTCACACAGAAGTGAAAGTCAGGAACAACATGTTATCAGAATCGATGATTCAGATTACAATTATTTTATGACCTTTGAATTAGGTATATGTATATATACATTGGAATATATACATTAATGAAGACTTCTTAAAGATGAATGCCATCAGTTGCAATAAAAACTGCAGCATTCCTGTTGCTATTACAGTGATGTGAATGTGTGGGCTTCCAATGACACCTCACTTTGGTTCTTCTATTTCATAATATAAATGTTTTCTCAGGCTATTTTCCATATAGTTTATTAATATAGAATATATTCTTGTACATACAAAACAACACATAATAGAAGTGGGGATAGGGTTAATTAGGGATCCTCAGTAAAACAAAGCAAAACATGAATCTCTATGAGGCACTAATAAAAATATGTTTTAAATCATAAAAATGGAAAAATGAAGGATAGAATGAGATTAAATAGAGTTGGAAATGAAATTCCAAGGCCACTAGCTGAAGAAAAGGACAATAAATATGCCAGTTTGGAGTCCAGGTTTATTCAGGACTATAGAAAAATGTATGCCTCAAATGACCAGTTTCCTCTGACAAGTTTCTAAGTTCATTTTCTTTCACACCTGGTTTGCTCTTGTTCAAAGCTCTAGAGCAAATGACTGATTGTGGTCCATGGTCTCTAAGGCCATAAGTAGCTTATATCCAGTTTTCGAAACCATATCAGCTGTCTAGAGTTTTTAAGCTAATGATAAGGCTTAAAAGTACCCTGAGTACATAGAGTACACTGCTGGCCCTCTGGAGCTGTGAGTGTTGTCCACTTGTTCAGAAACTTTGTGGCATACCTGCCTTTGAGGACTTTATAAGCTTTATATTCATTTGGAAAAGTGGTGTGTATGGGCTTATTTCCTTCTGGTTTTGAATAAGGACATCACTGGAGGCCTGCCATTGACAGACAGGGTGCACCTCAGGACAATGCTGGGAGAGAGTTTCAGGTATACTTCACCTTACAGATTGTCCCCTCAGGTTCCCTGTCACATTATCTCATATTTTCAAGGGGAAATTAGCTGAGCTAATTGGCATCCTTCAGCAAAAATATATTCACATCCTCTTTCTTACCTTTTAACTGTGTGCACTGTTAGTGGAAAAGAGAAGTGCTTATATGTACATAATACAAAATGCTTTTCAACATGAAGTCTGCTGAGGTGTTGCGTACTGACAAAGAGAAGCTGACACATTTCATCGGATATTTCTCTCCATTCAGCCCTTAAGGAAAGTAAAATCTCATCACATTGCAATATATAAAGGTGATAGCAGAAAGAATACCAAGGGACTTCTAGAATGTTATGGTTTAGGATGGGATAAATCCCTTAGGATACTATTATGCTATATCTGTTCTGCAGAGCCCATGCATCACCTATGGGAGGAGAGGTACTTAATGTGGATACACCTAAAACTAAGTCTTTGGCTTACCTTGCAATGACAAAGAGGACACAGCTGACTCCAAGGCAGGCTAGGAGAACATACATCCAAATATCAGGAGAAAGAGGGTTTAAAAAGGAGAAAACTCCAGGGTTTGTCCCATTGGGCTTCCGGTACAAGATACTGATTCCCAGTGTCATGAAGGGCTTGGAAAAATCAATTACTTTCTCTCTTACATAGGTAATAGTGAGAGGAGCAACGGCCAGATCAGCTTTCTGAAATCACAAATGGGAAAATACTCATTCTTTTTCATGTTCAGCAAATGCAATAATAACCCTACTTTTCCCCCCCCAAGTATTAAAAACTAAACTAAATTTTACTATAAATTTAACATTGCTAGGGTATTATTTGGTACATGATATTCTGTTTCCTCTTTTTGCAGGCAGAGGGACATTTGTGACTTTCATGTCACTAAGACAGGTATGACCAGGGACATGAAGCTTGGTCCTGTGCAACAGGGAAGACTGTGATCAAGGACTGCCAGAGCATCTGGGTAGGGACTATATCCACAGATCAGAGGCAGCCACTGGGCAGAGGGGATCTGGAAGCTCAGTCTTTGCAGCTCGAATTTGTAGCTGAAGGGTGGCAAGACCCATGCTAGTGCCCACTGCCCCACTGGAGATGTTCTCCCACACACCTGCAAACTGTTGGTACAGATGTACTAATGTGACTTCCTACTCTGACAGGTGGCCATAAAGAAAGAGTAATGGCTCTAAAACTAAAGCAAACATGTTTGGGCTGGGCTTATATAAAACACAACAGGTATTTTAAAAGAAGAATAAAGAGAGAAGGATTCAATCTTACATGATCTATGAGTTCTTTGACCATCCCATTCCACTCTCCTTTGTCATTCTGAGCTCCATATTTACCATCAGAAACTAGTTTGACCTCATAGATGAAGCCTAAAATATTTGACAGCTCTTTTAGTAAGTCCAGGCAATAACCCTCAAATCTGTCATTTCCATACAAGGGCTTGTCAGACTTCTTATACATAACATAGGGATCTTCCTATAGAAAAAGAGAGTAGACATGTAGCAATAGAAATTAGGTTTGTTTCAGATTATACCGGTTTCTCTAAATTATCCTAATATTTCATAATAAATTAGATGCAAACCAGTAATTTACTGTGTCCATTAAAAGCTGTTTTAGGTGTGTTAACAAATTGACTGAATCAGTTAATGATAAGCATAAGGCCCCTAATTTTCAGCAGAACAGATCATTCATAGCTCCCAGGAGCTTTAATTAAAGTAGTGCTTAGCAGCTCCAAAATCAGACCTGAGATCTGTACATTGTCTCACCCTAAGGAACAGGAAGGGATATTGAAGGAGAGAGAAGCCTAAATAACAGAAAAATAACCATAAGAGGAACCTAAAATTTTATACTTTGTGAGAAATAGATCTTTATTGGAAAAAAATGAGTTGAGCATGTATTCAGAGTGAATGGAGAATGGCATAGGTAGATTGCAAAGTACCTTGTTGCTTTTATTTTTAAAGCATTTTGGGTAGAAGACGTGGGCAAGGAGGTTTCTGCAGTTTAATGTAGCAAAAGGCCTCTGGCAATAGAAAAGGAGTGTAATGGGAGCCTTTGAGCTCTTCCCCTCCTCCTGAGGAATTAGGCAGAATAATTTAAAAAATGGCATTACTGGCCAGGCAGAAAGCACAAGGCAGAACAACTCGTGAATACCCCATTGCATATTTTCCATCTGTCATAGTAAGGACATAATCTGTTTATCTGCTGTTTGCTGTTTTCTGTAAGTCCTCATCATTTCATTTTCAGTAAAAAGGAAGGGTATATAAGCACTGAAAACAAAACTGCGTGTTAATGCTTCTGGGAAGAAAAGTATGCAGGGTTCATCTCTGAAACATTGAAATAAGCTATACAATTTTGGAAGCAGAGATTCCCAAGAGTCTTTCATTGGCAGTGGGATATTTTTGAATCAATCTTGTGGTTAGATGAATGTGTATGTCGATTGTGAGTCTAAATCAAAACAATTGCTTGAAAACAGATAGCTTAACAAAACATTGCTTAGTGCAGAGGAAAACAGCCATGGAGTGCAGGGCGGAGGTGGCAAAGGCAACCACGGAGAGCCCTGCAATCATCAGCAATACCTGCATCCTATGGCATGGCTGTAGGTGACAATGGCACCGCTACACAGTGAGACTTACCAAAATGGTGGTGACAATAAGTGTCCGGTTAGCCAAGGAATCCGTGATGTTGGTCGATCGGTCCTTGTTGCTGTCTGTCATGTTAAGGCCACTGTATGAGTTCCAAACCCCAATCTGCACACCAGAGAGAACGTAAGTGGCTGCCTGGTTATGGCGAGCCAAAACATTTCCCTAAATGCTCACCACCTAGGAAGAATGCACTGGCTCTAGCCACCACAGAAAGAGACACCAGCAGTACGAAATGCTAGAGAAGGGAAACAGCTGTAGGTCCAAGTAAGGCAGCAACATCAAATGACTGATTTAGAAAACACAGGGAACGTACCACCCTTTCAAAAGCAGGTGGGAATGAATGAGCTGTAAGAATATAAGGCATGCCAGTACAGTGGTGTATTAGCCAATTTGCTACAAAAGTGGAACATATTGGCTTTGTTTCCTCCTAAAAAATGTCAAATGTCTATTTCTATGGTATTTTTTTGTTTAAATTTTGCAAATGGTAGAGTTGAAACATATGGCAAGACCTCTCCCTTCCAACACAACAGATTAAAAGCTTGAATAAGTATGTCAAAGCAGACTGATGGATGCACTGGCCTTTTGCTTTCATTGTGCCTTCAGCAGGTTTAGCAAAGATTATTCTGTCATTTCTTTCTACTATATATGACAGAGCTACAAAGGTGATACCATTGCACACACTGACCAATATTTGTTCAGTAAATATAAAAGGCCAAAGGCAAATTCCTTTCTAGACTTGGAGGTAGTGAAGAATTCCATTATTTAATGCTCAATCTGAAGCCTCAAGGGAAAGATCTTCACGATTTCAGTGGATTTGGATATACACTTCATAAGGGCAGAAATTATAACCATGTTCATTTGTTCAGGTAAATATTTACTTAACATAAGCACAGTCTGAAAGCATATTCAGGGTTTTTTTGCATTTGGTACATTTGGATTTACATATACAGCATGGCTGAGGGCTGACATGAGAGAACTCCAGGCAAGGAGCTGGCTCAGGAAATTTGGCTGGTATTGGACATTTGTGGAGGGCACCAGAAGGATGGCTTGGGGGATTGACATTGCCTATCCACAGAGGACTTCACCACACAGCTCTGCCAGCACGTTTCAGCTCTACCCAGGAGTGATCTGCTTTCAGATCCTCCCTGCTGGGATTGCCACCAAAGCTGCCAAGTAAGTCTGAGACAAAACCCACTTATTCTCTATACTGGAGGTCTCTATCTGCTGTCAGATGCTCAGTCATTTCAGGCACAGGCTGGACTCTTTCTTTGGTTGTTAGCTGAGGCAGAGATGGCACTGCCTTTGTACCAAACCCAGCAGATTAGTATGTGCATGCTGACTGTGGATGTGGAGTAATAACAGTATCATTTCAAACAAATTTTGGGTTTGTGTCCCTGGATGCCATTGCTTTCTTCTTGCAGATTTTTTTTTGTCGTGCCATTTCTAAAAATTATTTTTTCAAGCATTTATCAGTCATTCTCTTTGTTTCCAAAACTAGATCATGTTGGGAAACTGATCTAGAAAGTACACTGGATGCTGGGCATTATGATAGTGAGTGCCAAGAATGTAGTAAATAACCAGTGTCCTTGAATTTGCACCAGGTTGGCTGAGTTAATCAGAAGCCGTTCTGCTCGTTGTTACTGACTTGATATGCTTTTATTGGCTGGCAGCAGGGAAGAGGAGAACAACCGTAAAGAGCATGGAGCAACACAGTCACAGTGCATACAAAATACACCAGGATACCACTCTAGGTCTGGGTAAAAGAATAATACCACAGGTCAACCTTGATTAGAGTGATGGAGGAGGTTGGAGGGTCACTGGAAGAATGAGGTCAAGGTAGTACATTGCTATGGTGAATCCAGGGGAGTTATTGCAGTTTAGTGACAACTTTGAGAGGTGTCATACGCCCTTCTCAGCAGGCCTGTGCTTTGAACCAATTGTAATTTGGTTTAAATCAATTCAGCGTAACACAAAATGCCAAGAGTCAAAAGTGAGATTGGTCCAACAGCGTTCTGCATGTCAGGTAGGATGATCTATTCACCAGTAATGAGGGAAATGGCAGCCTTAGCCTTATTCACTGAAGATTAAAACAAGGTTATTAAGTATGTGCTTTATAAGAACACACAAAGAGTACTATAGGTTGTTTTACACTGGTCTACTCTGTAGCATTAAAATCCCTTCCAAAACAACACCAAACCAAAATCTTTTTTAACTGTGTATATAGGAGGGGTGGGAAATCATGAGATCTGTGTGAAATACGTACAAAATATAATTCTAAGGATTATAAGAAATTTTTATCTTGTGACTGCAGAACACTTTAAGCATGATTAATGTGGTTGTTATCTTCTTACAGAATGGCAATTGTGGGTTGTACCTCCAGCGGGGAGCAGCACATGGAGCTTGTCTCTGACTCCCACTTTGGTGCCTTTTCCACAAGGCAGAGGAACCTCACATTAAAAAAGGGATGAGATTCCTGGGGTAATTTAGATCCTTTATAAACAGGCTTAGTTCCAATTTCCATATGTTAGTGAATGACAGCACCCACTTAATCATCTGTATTATTTTCTGTAAGAAGCTAATAACACACTTGTCAAAATTTTGAGTCAACAATGCTTGAACATTGCCTGCATAGTGCATATTTTGTGGGAGGCAAAAAACCTCCCAATCCTGCATATTAGAACAGTCCTTGCTGCTGATGCTAATCCACATTCAAAATTGTGTAAATTTACCATTCATGGTAAATTTTAGGTGAACTGGGAAGGGTAACAGCTGAGAAAAGAGCTGCTTTTGCTGTAACCAGGTGGCTCCAGTCAGAGAGGAAAATCACAGCTCCCAAAAAATAAAATAATAATTACAAAAATATTTTGGTGAAAAAAGCTGAATGCTGTCAAAGTCTTACTATTTGGAATTACAGTGTCTCAAGTTGGGGTGAAACTTATTCTACCAGAAAAAATGCATACTCTCTGGTAGATGGTTGTCTCTAAACTGCAATATAAGTCACTTTCAAAACCCAAAGGATGAGTCTTAAGACCCAGCCCAAAGGTTTTTTGCATCACCTGTCTGTGTACAAACCTTCTTCCACACTTTATATAAATGATTAGAAACCTCGCCAGCAGCCTTTGTACAGAGAAAAATAAACAGAGTGCTTCATTAAAAATGAAAAGAGAATCAGTCTGGAGAGCTGTGTGGGAGTAATTACATTTAAAGCCTCAATTAACCCATCAGCAATTATCGTTCAGAGTCAAGACAGTGTACACAGAGCAAGGGACAATGCTGTCTCCAGCTGACACGAGCTGGTGGCAATACCTGTGTTAGGGACTTTTTAGACACTCAGAGCAGCCACCTCCTAGGTGGCGGTGGAAGGGGCTTGGTGCTGCCCATTGAGAGCCCATGTTTGCTGGCTGAGTGAGAGCCGGGGCAAGGGAAATAGAACTAATCTAATCTGAAAAATATGACGGACTTTTAACATCTCAATTCTTGTTGAGGTTATCTATTCAAGCACCTTCTTTCCTCTCTCCCTCATGTCACATTTAATAAAAGCAGTACATGTAAGATCATAGAATCATAGATAAGACTAGGGTTTACCTCTCTATACGAGTTTACCACACCAAGTTGCAGTGGTGAGAACTGAAGGTAATGTCCGCTTAAAATAATTATTTTCATTCATATAATTATTGCCAGTCCCAAATTCCTGTCCCACACCTCAAAGTGTAAGGTACACATTGTAAAATAATAAATCAATCTTAGTGGCTCTGTTTTCACTTTGACTTAAATAATCTTGGAAAATGTGGCTTTTACCCCAAGCACAGGAGTCTTAAGCTGAGGAGAATGAATTTTCCTATGCCCCTGTCAAATTAGCTTTTTGTCATTGTTTTACAAAAGATCTAGTTACCTTTTCTGTTCCTTCCTCCTTGAGGCTAATAATGTCCAAATCAAAATCCTTCCGTAAGCCATCCGTTTTGTTGAAGGTTATGCGCCCTGTCAGGCCATCCCACCGTGCCTGTGTGAACACAAAACCACTCTTCCCTGTAACAATTAGTAGGAACAATGAAGCCATGACAAAACTGCATTTTAAATTAACTGTATTATGGGATCACTTCCAAATATTTTTTTAAACACTTTCCTCAACTTCTTTTGTTTTAGTTTCTCCTCAGTATGCTTTGCATTTTACAATCAGACACAACTTTGTGACATTTTATATACATTGACTTACATATGTCTAGTACTGTATAAAAAAGATATACTGAAAAGGGAGAAAGACGGAATAAAGTGTGTCCTATACACACCCAAAGACAGGACAGTTTTGCACTTCATAAAAATTCACTAAGAAATTAAAAAATAAGTCTGCTTTGTCCAAGCTTTGGGTCTGATCCTTGGAGTACAACAGTCTAAATTCACCAGCTTGGCTGGAGTGACCCTTTTTACCCAGGCCAAGACCTTTTAAGTTCTTCATGATGAATGGGTAACAGATGGCAATCAGTGATGAATGGGAGTCCCCAGAAGATCCTTAATGAAGGAAGGTATCTAACCATTCCAAATTACCAAAACTTCCACAAAGCTTTGGTTGTGCATTTCTTAGTCTCATGTGATAGATACTGCCCCTGCTACTCAGCGTCCAGAAATCCAGATTTTTCCAGGAAGAGATAAGGGAAGAAGGGCTTTTGTCATTCTGGCTTAATTTCTTGGACAGGTTGTGGTTGAACATCCCCCACCAGCATTGGACTCCTAACGTCCTCAACTTTGCTGAACTGTTTCATTAAACCCTATTCAGTTTTCATCCCCAAGGAAGAAGACACACATAAGCCAACGAGGTGTATCATTCCTAACAAGAGCACTACGACTGCCTGTGCTCACAGGAGTTGATGGCAGGATGATGACAGCTATAAAGCAGGCTTTCAGGAAAAAAATCATGCAATCACAGAGACCTAAATAACAACTTTGTAGTGTAAGGTACACATAAATCTTACATATATGTAAGTAAGTACAGCATATGAGTTGCATATGATCAGTTTTGGTCCAGGCAGCATTTCATTGTTCTATCATCACTAAGTGAAATCACATTTTCCTGGATTTATTCATTAGCATAAGGAGTAAGTTAAAGTGGTGGACTTTGTACATCAGTCTGTATAGCAATGATGATTCCCTGTGTTGGGGAAAGCTTCTTCAGTGCAGCAGGATCAATGTCCATAACTTTCTCCCAGCATATTCACTTTCTTTTAAATGAGATCGCTCTCATATACACCCCATTTTGTCCCTCAGACTGAAGCTTATCTATGTAAAGTATTTGATGGATTTCAAACTGCAGACAAAATACAAGAAAAGTTGATGATAAATAATGGCGTATTTTCTTTTCATTTGCATAAGCATATAATTCTCTAATTACAAGCTTTTCTACTGTGCATTGTTATTTGCTTCATTTAATTTGCTGTAGATAGATGACATAAGGAAAGCTGCATTAAAAATCAGCAGATTTACAGAATGGTGTTTCCTGTTAAATCTAAATTCTAAACTCTGAATCTGCAGGATTAACTCGTAGGTGCTGGGGTGTTACCACTTTGTGTCTCAGAAAAATCTGCTGCATCTAGAATTTTGTGGAAATACAGCAGGACCTTGAAGCATGCTTAAATAAAATAGGAATGGAAAAGCACAAATACATCAAACTTAGTATGAGACTTTCCATCTTAACAATGCAGGGACATACGTAAATCTCAGCTGTAAACAGTGAAACACTTGTGAGTTTGTATGCTGATATAATTAAGATAGCGGGACACACACAGACATAAAAATGCATTTCATTATAGAATATCTATTTCCTAGTCTGTCTCTTTATTAATCTGACATGACCCCCATCTCTTATTCATAAAGATGCAACATTTTTTAAAATATGATCTTTAGAGATCAATTTCTCCTCAGAGAGTAATTTGCTTCTGTGAAATGCTCACATTTATTGATTTCATATCAGATGCTCAGTTTCTTTGCTAACATGATACGATCTTGAATAAAGGAACCAATATGTTATTTTTGATATTATATCAGGAGACTTCATCTCCATTCTTGTACACATGTACATGTACATATACAGCTTGTACATGTACATATGTATATGTGAATGTACATGTACAAGATGCACGTGGTGAAGTGCCAGCTCACTTTTGAAAATAGGTATTGGTGCTTCTACCCCCATGCTAAAAAAAAAGGGAAGGAAAAGATGTTACAAGCTCCATAGGTGTACGCTTAAATTTCAAGGTAGCAGAGAAGTGCATATAGCCTTTGTTTAACTCAAGTCTCATTTAGACCATTAAATAGTGATCCAAATGTGACTTAAATTATAAGCAGGAGTCAGGCAGTGTACCTCAGAAGAGGTAAGTGTTGATGGGATTTTTCAGACCCCAATTGTGAGGTACACGCTTCAAACACCATTTGGATTCTAAATTTAATTTCTGATTTTATTTTTTTAAATCCATTCTAAATAAAAATAAAACATTTGGGCTTGAGTCCAGGGAACATTATTTTGTTTCTGACCTCAAGACAATTGTGGTGCCTCCGTGTACAGCACATTCGAACAGACAGATGATGTTTCTCTCCTGATCAGAAACAAAAGTTTTCCTTAAAAACAAACAGAGCAATGGGCTAGCAACCTTCCATTCATCCCAGACCTCCTGAAGTCTATGGTAAACTTCCAAGCTTTTAATTTGAGTTCTAAAGCAAAACTACCTGCTGCATGCAGTCAGTGAAATGTATCATCGCTGCAAAATCATAGCCACATAGCACCACTTCTAGATGCTTGTCAGGTAAATAAAGGATGTGAGTGCCTATTAGGCACCGTGCTCAGGCAAACAGAATAGGCAGCAGTTGCACAGTTCTCAAATGCAATTAATAAACAGAAATGAAGCAGAACTTTCTGAACAGTCAGAAACCACACAACTGTTTAACATAGCAATGAGATTTCATGCTTTCATACATAAAATTTATAGCAATTTTAATGTTTCTAGTGACACTCATGTTAAATGTTACAGGATATAATAAAAGTTGAATCAGAACCTAACAATGTAATTCATCAAAAGAAATAGCTTTTTTGCACTCTGCCCTGCTTTAAGATTAGAGGAACTAAAAGCACAATTTGAAGGTCTTAGGGAGATAAAGTATTTTCAATTTTGTTTGTATAATTTCGAGTAGAGCTTGCAGCTTAATTAAAAAATGTGAATTTCAGTGGCTTCTGTTTGTAATGCCTTAGATCTTATTTATGGAAGGTTTCAGGCTGCCTCTGACAACAGAACTGAGACAAAATGCTGTTCTTTGGGATTCTGATTAGCAGCAATATGGCAACGCAGTGTTTGAGTTTCAAAATAAGGCCTCACATTCTTCAATACTGTATTGTATCAGATGTAAACGTTTGAGGACTTTCTCCTGTTTATTAAACAAGATGGAGAATTAACCCGATATGTTGGTTTCAACTGGTAGTTGAGAAGCAAACCATACAGGAGCAGTAGGTATTCATGCTCTTTCTTACTAAGATTGAACAGATTCCAGATAAGTCTTCAGTCATCTCTGAAGGCTATCAGGTACCTGATATGGCAAAAAATGAAAAAAAAATCCAAATCAATCTAATTAAAACTGTGACATTTTTAAAGCTAAATTAATTTGACATTTTTATTTTTTTTTAATTAAAATTTAAATTAAAAATTTTTAATTAAAATTTTTTAATTAAAAAAATAAATTAAAAAAATAAAAAATGAAGATTCTGTATAAACTGCAATCTGAAATCTGGTGTTAAGTGTTCAAATTACAATATTGATTTCTATATCAATGGACAATTATAACAACTGGAAAACAAAGCTAACTCAGCTTCCAAAGGCAAACACTCCAGAAGCTTGCTATCAATTCACGTCACCATCATATGGTCTTTATATCAATTTCCACTTCCCCATCTTGAATCAATTACTATGGCAGCCTTAATTTCAGCCAAAGCCAATCAACCGTTCAATCACAGAATTAATTAGTTCAGCTGCTACCAGACTCACCAAGGTAAAACTACAGGTACATTTAATATTCTGTTTCTTTTGTTTCTACTGGACCTCACTTACATTTCCAGATTTGTATTAGCAACATACAACTAGATCAAGAAGTCATAATGCCAGTGTATTTAATGCATTGAATAAGTATTCAGCTTTACGATACAGCCTTAATGAGATAGAGCCAATTTTGTAGATACTGTATTGCACTATTGCACACAAAAGTGTCAATCTTTCCCAGACAAATTGATTTGGGTTTTACCATGTATTTATTTTTTCTTACTCAATATAAGTATATCCATATATTCTAGTTCACCATTTCTTTGCCTATGGCATGTTTTCTCCCTCTGCATCATGTTGCAGTGATAGATACTGCATAGTTGTGTTTGAGATTAGAAAGCTTTAAATTTTTCAAGGTCTTTTTTAAAATGTTCAAAGTGCCCTGGCAAGACAAGAATGCAAAACCATAATCTTATTTTAACTTCTTAAACTATTACGTTTAATAATGTTTCATAATATATAGACGTTTCCACTCCTCTATTCATATTCCACTTATTTCAATAAACTGTGAAATAAGTTTTTCTGAACCTGTTCTTTAGTCCTCTACTTGTATCACGTATATCAAGTGATCTCTTTAGAGTTTCAAATTCAAGTTTTAACCTTTTCTTGTTCTCACTGTTCAAAAATTAAGACACCCCCCCCACACTTTAAATGTATATCCAGACTTAATATTAGAAGAAAACAAATATGTACCAGCAAATGCAAATAAAACTGTGACTATATCACTTACAAAATATGTGTACATATTGAATCTGCTTTAAGTGGTGTAATGAGAAACTGTCCTAACTCTTAACAAATTTTTAAAGTGTATAGAGCTGATATAAAACTTCTCATTGAAAAGCCAAGCTGTAATTTTAGCACAGTATTGTGACAGAAAATGAACTGTTCTGTGGTTCAGTTCCAAAACCCTGCACAAAACCACATTCAA